TGAAGTGTGTAAGAATACTTAGTAAGCGTGTTTGGTTTTTATTTTCTAAGTAAACTCTGTATGCGAAGGTATAAAGAGTTATCTTCAATTTTAATTGAATTACACAGACATGTAAAAAGAAAAAAATTCTTTGGCTATCTACCAACGAGACGCAACATAAACAAGATCACGCGTGATCAAAAACAACCTCAAAAGTTTCAATCGGGTTACTAGTTCATGAAAGTTTAATCTAGAGCGTTAAGATCTAAATTAATTTCTTTTGTCAAACCAATTAAGTTGTAACTATTTTATCAGATAAAATAATTTTCTTCGTTCTTTATAAAGCTGTGAATCCGTTGAAAATAAAAATTCAAGGTTGCTGATAAAAAGATCCGAAAGCTGCTGTGTAAACTATCTCAACGTTTTGAACTAAAAGATCTTAGATAATCTCGCTGAGATAGGGTGCCAGGAATTTTTTTAATCAACGAGTAACTTATTTAATCCAGAAGAATCTTTTATAAAAGAAGAGATTTTAGTGTTATGTTTATCATCTAATTCAAACACTCAACACTTTTTTTTATTTTTAACACGTTCACGTCGGGAAAAGTGAAAATACTGGTACCGGAAAAGAGAAAATACTGGCAGAAGAACTATTTCAATATTAGATAATATTCGGGTGGAGTTAATCTATTCTCAACAATAACAATTCACTGTAAGGAAATTTATCACGTCAAAGAAGCAATTCAATATAAAAATTGCATCCGTTAAAAACAATTGGTAGTTATGGATTTTTATTATTGCCGGAAAAAAACTAAAAAATGAAATTTATTGTTACCAGTTTTTACTTCGATACGCTGCCAAGACGAGAAAATCTAGCGTGACCCACCGGTGGGTCACCCCGGCGTGAACGTGCTAAAGACAGTTTTAACGTAATAAAGGTTTTTATTTAAACCCACGGGTGGTTTAACAAAAGGGCAAGACTGGGTGATAGACTGGCATTCCAGTTCAATCATTGGCTCTCGTCCACTAAAATTTTATACCACCGGCCTAAACAACCTGCTAATTTGTACGATCGTTGAAAAAGGTTTTGCAAAGCGGTAGTAAAACAATATCAGTTAAGTTTTAAGAAGTGGTTAAGTTCCTTCTAAATTAGAAGGCTTCCAGACATTCATTGACTCTCGTCTACTAAAATTTTATACCACCAGTCTGAACAACCATCTAACTTATACGGTAAATGAAAAAGGTTTTGCAAAGTGGTAGTAAAACAATAACAGTTAAGTTTCAAGAAGTGGTTAAGTTCCTTCTAAATTAGAAGGCTTCCAGAAATTCATTGGCTCTCATCTACTAAAATTTTATACCACCCGCCAGAACAACCTTCTAACTTATACGGTAGTTGAAAAAGGTTTTGCAATGTGGTAGTAAAACAACAATTAAGTTTCAAGAAGTGGTTAAGTTCCTTCTATATTAGGAGTTCCTTCTAATTTAGAAGGGACTGCTTCCAGATATTTATTGGTTCTCGTCCACTAAAATTTTATACCACCTGCCTGAACAACCTGCTTACTTGTAAGGTCGCTGTAAAAGCTCTTACAAAGTGGTAGTAAAACAACAATTAAATTTGGAAGAATTTTTCAAAAATAAAATTATTAAGACATCTATATGCACAATTGAGCATCAAATAGATCTTATCTACATATTTTTCTTTAAAATTATTGATTTGTCAAAGTAGTTTCAAAATTGTTTTCGAAACTTTAAACTTCAAGATTTAATGCACGAAAATGCCAATGTTGCTACCACTAAGCAAATTAAATCTCAATGGGCGTACAAGTTGGCAACTATGAACCTGTCACTTAATTGGTACAAGTGTCTTGGTAATATGGGTACATATTTTTTGAACTATATAGCTCCTGTTTATTTTTTTATACGAATTTAATCTTTAACGAATTAAAACAAGTATTATTTAACTGTACTTTTTCCTGTTTTGGATTTTCGAAAGATTTTATTTTTACAATTAATGTAGTAGACACAATTTTTTACATTTAAATTTGATTCTTGCTTTAATACATTTTCTTTAAAGTTATTATAACTACCATCTCCTTTAAACAATTTAAACATACACATTGAAGATTTGCGACATATAATAGTTGTTTCCAATATTGAGCAAAATTATTATTTAAAAGCCTATTTACAGTGCCCATTTTATTTTCCTACCTCTGGGTAAAAGCTTTTTTTTAAGGAACGTAAAAATTGGCTGGTATGTTATTGTTATTCGTCAATTTAGTAAATGGTGGAATAGGATGAACACGCACTTAAGTAAAATAAAATAAAAAATATACTTTTGTTTATCTTAATTTCTAGAATTGGGAAGAAAAACATTTTTGGAAACGACTTTTGGGGCAGATGTTTACATAGACCTTGAACTTATCTTTTAACTTGGCTTTTTTAAAAATAGTAGCTGTGACCGTGCAAAAAAGTTGTAATATTCAAATCATGGAAAATCTAACAAAAATAGAAGCCATTCTCTTAATATTTTTGGAAATTGTTATACAGTTGAGAATTTTTATGCGGTCAATTTTTGTAAGCATATGTATGTGCTATTCTTTGACATTTGCTTTCATTAAAATAATTTTTTTACAAAGATTTTTCACTTTTTCTAAAAAAACATTTATGCTCTCTAATTATACTTTTTAAATACTCGTATATGTTATGGCAAATAGCTTATTTTGAATGTACGAAATGTCACTTTTTAACCCTGTTCTTTCGTCAATTTTATTCTTGTTATCGAAAATTTTCAATGTAACTATAAAAGATATGAAATAAACATTTTACGCGTGCAAAAAAATAAACGAAACACCCTGAATAACTTTTGATCTAATGATCGGATTTTAACATACTAGAACTCAATCTTAATGGTTAGAGATGGTGACATCAATTATGCTAATCAATTAGTGCAGACAATGTTTTAAGTTACGAAATAAGATACAAAATGTACTTTCTCTGGATAAACATACCTTTTTTTCTGGAGAATTTTAATTCCTGACTCCCGAAAGAAAAGGGGTAGCCGCAATCCGGGAAATATGGTCCAATTGTTTGGACCTTGAAAAGATTGGACTCCTATTAATATAAATTAATTTTATTTTATTTTGTATTTCGCTTTATCTTTAAGTTTTGTAGAGCGAATTGAAAAATTATTGCACTCAAATATAAAATTTGTTTATCCAAAGATAATTCCAAGCAAAAATTTATTCAGTATTTTTTGTTTTATTTCACCACTGATCATTGTGTAATGAAGTTTTTTAAATGCTTGGCGAAAAAAAAAGAGAAACAAATTGAGTTTATCCTATACATTAACCGTTTATAAGCCAATGTTCTTTTTTTCAAAATGTTAAAGACTGGTAACACAAATATTTCCTTCTTAGCACTTGCAATTGGAGAACTGAACATTCCTATCAACAGAAATTTCTTTATGACGTAATAATGGATATTTCGTTTTGAGTTTAAGCAGTTGTACTGTTTTCAAATCAAATTAGTAGGTAACAGAAGAAAATTTCCATTTATCAAATATGCTGCCACTTTTTTCATAAACGCACTTTTTCTAATGTCACGATTTAAGAATACGATAGATAAACGGTTAAATATGGAGGGGCTTTCTGAGTTGGAATTATTGATAAGAGCAGAAAGATAGATGTCTTTTTCTTTATTTATAAAAAATTGGGCACCTGGGCCGCGCAGAAGGCCCATATCCCATACATCATGAAATAGAATAAAAAGTTAAAATAAAGGACAGTTTGAGTTCAGCAGTCCATGGGGTGGCTGTTACTGGGAGACAAGCACCTTGCTTGTATAACTGAAAGAAAAGAAAAATAATAAGAGCAACTTGCTGCAATCTGTGGATGGCTGTAGTTTGATTGTCAACGTGAAGTAACATAGGTCAGGATTTCAGTATTGGTAAAGTGTTTGATGCTTTGGATTATTGATGTAGACTATAGATGCTGGAATTGAAGACTATTATTTATGCTGATAGCTGTGGTATGAGGCGTCGGAGGTGAAATGAGCAGTTATTGGTCTTAGTTTTTCTTTTATACAGTTTTCGAAGTTAAAAATCTGATTGAAGTTGGCTGTGCTGCATTTTATGGCTTTGTCGTAGAAGTTTGCATTTAATTTGTGTATATATTCGGATAGAAACGGAATTTTGAGATCTTTATGGATATTTGAATTACGTATGAACCATCTGGCACGGGTGATCTTTCTGAGTATTTTATTTTGACATTGGTTGAGCTTTTTCATTAGGTGTTCGGGTATAGTAGTCCAGGCAGGTGAAGCATATGTAAGTATAGGTCGGATCATGGAGGTGTATAGTAATTTTCTGATTTTTAGTGAGACGTTTTGGTTATAGATGAGAGGTTGGACTTTGTTATATTTTTAATATGGTCGCTCCAAGTGAGTTTACTATTAATTATGAGTCTAAGGTACTTTGCCCTCGTAACTATTGGAATTTGAATGGAAAGATAGACATGTTCATAATTGCCAACTTTAAAGTTTTCTATTTTTGTATTTAAAGTGTTACTAAAATTTATGCTGTCTAATTATTTCTCGTATTTACAAATTTAAAAGGATTTTGACCCCAATGTATATGATTAAGAATTGGCATATATATTGTATATGGTTAATTACTTATTCGAAAAATGTAATGTATATGATTAAGAGTTGGCAGATATGGATATTATTTAACATTGGAAAATGTGTTTATTATTATTAATATACTTGTTTGCTAATAGCGATAATAAATGCAACTTTAGAAACAATTCTTACAGGAAAAATGCATTATATTTTTCAATTACACATATCCTTTCATTATTATGTCAGTCTTTTATTATTTTATCTTGTTATGTATACTTTTACAGGAAATATTTCTCTTTTAGTTACTTTAAAAAAATTCCAAGCTTGTCAAGTATTAATTGTGTACTTTGTATTTACTCTAAATCGTTGTGTTAGCATACTAAATGTTACTTTATCATTTGTAGGAAATATTTTGAAAGGATTGGTCTTTGCATTCTTATGGTAGAATATTGAATAGTACATAGGGAAAGGTAATTTTTCCTTTCATTTAAAAACAATTTTAAACTCATTTAAAGTGTTGTATAACTTAAATTTCAATTGTATGTGTATTAAAATGATGATAGTATAACTGTAAATATTAATTACTTTCACTATTTTTCATTTGTTTTTACTTAATTTTAAAATTAATACTTAAACTGTTCTAATTATTATAAATTAAGAAGGTTTTTTTCTATTAATATACTCTCAGTGACAACCACGCGCGTGAAACAGTTGCTAATTTGCATCGATCTCGGATCATTCAAAAGTAACAGCTTATCATCTAAAATAAGTCAAAAATTAAAAAAAAAACAAATAATTAAATCAAAAATTATAATAATCATTCACGCTAAATTTGCCACCATTATTTACGTCTCTTGGCGTGATTTGTTGCCCTGATCCAACGCCTCCTATAACTGAAAACTTCCACGCGGTTTCTTATAGGTAGTACGATCAGACCACTATGAAGGTCAGCCTGTTTACGAAAGACTCGTTTAATAGAATATCTAGTAAAAATAAGAAAGTGATAGCAGATATAGGTCTAAATTATTTTTTAAATTTATGAATATAATTGGTTTGTCTTATTTACTTGTCTACCACAAAAGATTTTATTCTCAAATTTATGTGAGGGAGTGGAGTGTCTGCTTCGTGGACAGGTACTCCATACCTGCCAACTTTCACTCTTTTCGAGAATGGATTTTCAGAGTGGTTGTAATACGATTAACGAAAAACAGTCTGACTCAATAATATATCTATATTTTGATCCCGTTGAAATTCGCTTGCTAAAGGATTATTATGCTTTTATATATTTATCGTAATTATTTATATGTAGTGGTGGTCAAACTAATTTATGATTATCATTATAATTCAAAAAGTTAATTGGAATAACGTGAGTTTTGCTACCACTTTAAATATGAAAAAAAAATCTTCCGGAAGAGTTGGCAGGTATGGTACTCCGGACAGCAGAAGGGAAGATTATAAGAAGACTCGTCGGCGCCCCTAAATGCATTAGCAATAATAGTATAAAAAGGGATCTTAAAATTGATGACATCAACGTCTATATAAAAAATTTAAACCAAAATTTCTACGATGAAGCAAAAACCTGTACCACCAGCAATTTTAACTCACTCCTAGATATTGAATTAATTGACGACAACACTAAATTTAGCCCAATCACTGCCTTTTTCCTTAGGGATATGACGTAGCCCTAACACACGAAATACACTCTCGATTTTTGGTGCTAAGCACCACCTCTTCCCCCCATCTCCATTCCACCTCACTACTCCTCATCATCGAATTACTACTACAGATGAATCGGTTAATGCCGCTTCGCCGCAGCGCACCGAGATTTATATGATTTCTACCATCTACCATCTGGTACTCCGGACACACCATCAGTCTAAGTCTACTTTTAAAATAAAATTTAGTTTCATGCGCAGACTACTTTTAAAAAACCGTATGAAGGCTTTTTGCATACTTGCCAACTTTTAATTCCTACGATTATGATTTTTCCCAGTGGTAGTAAAACGGGATTAAAATTTCTATTTTAAGCAAAGAAATACGTTATATTAGAAAAATCTTAACTTAACAACCATGAATGTACACACATTAATGTATATGCTTAATTTTTTTAAGAATAGTGGTGGTCAAAGTCATTTAAAAATTAAGTTCATAAGAGAAAAAGTAGTATATATTTACTACCACTTTAAATATAAAAATAAAATTTTACGCCAAATGCGTAAAAGTTGGCAGGTATGTTTTTGATGTAGGAGGTGATGCCTGGTCCAGTCAACTGTTTTATTTCAGGTCAATTTGTATTTTTAAGCCAACGTTTTTATATATATGTTATTACACATTGTTATGGGAAACAAGTTTCCCAATTAACAACATCAAAAATTCGTTTTCATAAGTAATAATTCTGAATATGTTACAGTTCTTAGAAAATCACAATGACAGCTGACATTGAAAAGCAGCCCCCATCTGATGATGAAATACAGCCTGCAAGGAAACTTGATATATTTGATGTTGTGGGAGGCAATGGACTCTGGCAGAAATTTATCTTCTTGGTTGTCATATTCTACGCAATACCGAGTTGTACGCACAATTTGTCTATGTCCTTTCTTGCACCTAATTTGGAACACTGGTGTGCAAGACCAGATGGAATAAATTGGACTGTAGAAGAATGGACGAGTGTAGGACTTCCAGAAGATGACAAACGATGTTCCAGGTAATATTGCTGTTTCTACAGTTTGTGGTCTAAATTTTAGCTATTAATGTATGACCATGAGCTTTGATATGATGTAATAAGCGTTTTTACAAAAAAAGTGAATATTTTCTTCAGTTACTAACCTCAGTTTAACCTTGATAGCATACTGTGCATCGATTTTAGATCCAGATATAGATTGTTTTATTATCCTGGTGGCCACAAACGGGATATATTTAGAAAGTGGAATAAAAAATTGAAAAAAACAAACAAACTTCTTTTACTAACTCTTATCTACTATAAACATGGAAAAAAATGTCAGGGTGTCTTTGACAAAAAGTGTAGCCTTTTTTAAACGAAACGATACTTTGTTGCAAGTTAAGAAACGACCATTACGGCGTAGGATTCAAGTAATCTTCCGCAACTGCATATAGTTCCGTTTTATCTCATTATAAAATTATACAAATATGTTTTCAAAGCAATTAAAAGCTTTTGAAAGTTAAACACGTCAGACAAAAGTTTAATTTGTAATATATTTTACGATATATGCCACAGAAATATTAACGAAGGGTTATAGTTTCAAAGATTTACTGGTATCCTAGACTTGGTGACATATTTTAATAAATAAGGAGAACATTCGTTCTTGAAAAAGAAAAAAAAAACTATATAACATTGCGAAAGCATAGGATTTGACTAGACCACTAAAAATTTTGTATCATATGTTGACATGCCCTTAACTAATGAAATGAGAGATTTACTTTAGAAGTTTCATTGTAGAAGAAAATAGTATCCAAGAAACAATATTTATTATTCTTTCACCAGTTTCTTTAAATGTGAATAGAAAAATTTATATTTGTTACGATTTTCAGATATCATTCTTATTAATTTTTATTATTTGTTAATTGATTATTCAATAATTCTTGTTGATATATGTTCGAGCTGGGACCTTGGCATTTATTTCGAGTGCATTCAGATGAGAACAGGCTCTCTCCTTAGGGATAATGGCTATTTCTTAACTTATAGTAGTTATTGACTATTTGTGATAACACTGATTTTATAAAAGGCCTATCGAAGTTTTCAATTATCCAATAACAATTCGATAACACTAGGGAATAAATTTTTTGTTGCATTTTTTATACAAGTACTTATCTCATTCGTAAGTGGTCATTTCTAATATTTCATTAGTTTTGTTCGGAAAACAACAGACTTTTTCAAAATGATATTTTTAGTTTATTTATTTTCTTTTTGTCTAAATGTATAAATTTATTAGAAAAAAAACGTATTGGTTTATATACATACATATTTTTTATAACAGTCGTTAAACAGCACACCCAATTTTGAGTTTGCGACTACTAATGTTCAACTCAGTTGCGCAGTAATTTTAAACCCAATCCAGAAGACAAGGGAACTTCTGGATCAAGTATTAGGATTATCGTATTTGGGAATTCATGGATCAAGTCGTAACTAAGAAGTACACCACAGCGACGAAGATAGGCTCGATTGATGCGATTTTATTTCATTTTATAATCGGCGTTGAAATGCTGACGCAACACTGAGTTGATGACTATCAGTATTCAACTCCGTAGCCTGGTAATTTTAAACACAACCCACAGGATAAGGAACCAAACATTCAGGCTCAAACGTCGGTACAAACTACCCTTCGTAAAGGACTTTTTGATGGAATTGACAGCATTTGCATTACATGATGATAAAAACCACAAAAATATCAGACAGTTAGCCTGACGGCAAGAGGACTCTAACCCATGATCCGTCAACCACCGAGGACAATTTACGTCAGCACTGTGGTCTGTGTGTATCAATCAGCATCGCTGGATTCGAACCCGGTTCACCTCATTGGAAGGCGAGCATTCTATCCCCTGAGCCACCATAGCTCATACATGCATATATCCTTGTCGGCTCCTTTGAAATAGCCCTTAAGGCAAAAAAAAATGACCATAACGCATCGCATCATAAACTGAAATGCATTATCACCTTCTTTCTGCCATTCCCTACGTAGCAGAAAAGTGAGGGCATTCAGTATTCAGTTGAGGGAATTTTTAAAAATTCTGGTTAAAAAATATTAAAATGCAAAAGATTGTAGCTTGAAGAGAGAAACGATTGCTGATTTGAAATCAGTGACGCAAAAATATCTAAGATGCGTTCAAAAATCTCATGCAGCAGGAATCATGAAAAAAAAAAAACTGTTCGTCAATGTAATTTGCAGTTACAGTTTGATAAATAAAAAATGTCAGATGCAAAAAAAATCGATAATTAAATATTTGATGATATCTAATTTTTTCGATAAATTTAAGTGAATTTATATTTCAGAAACTGTTTTACTAGAATTTATACTGAATTTTATCGATACTTAAATTTTTATTTGTCCATCTGCAGGTATAAAGAAATTAACTTTACCCATCCATATGATGAAAATGGAACAATACAAAGAAGTGAAGAAATTGTGTCTTGTGATGCTTGGGAATATGATACATCATTTTACACGAACACAGTTCTTAACCAAGTAAGAAAATATTGTTTTTATTGAAGTTTATAAAATCTACTTTGAGTCTCTAATGTTTATAATCTAAGTGTAATAAGCTTTTGCTCTCGAATTATAAAAAAGACCGCCATTGGTAGTAATAAAATAGTCCCTACTCAAAATTATAAATTTTTTGTTACTAATCAGTAACTTTATCATTTATTAAGTTCAAAATATAAAAAAGTAAACAAAAAAATAAATTCAAGTGTGAGTAACCATTTAATCAACAGTTGAATGTATTTTAAGTACAAGGATTTACACTAGTTTTCTTACATGAAGACTTGATAAAAAACTACGAAGTATACAAATGAATGTGAATTTCTAAGAATCTAAAAGACGGAAGAAGAAAAAAGTGAGCACAAATTCTTTTTTATTTTATTTAGTTTAAAAATAAACTTTTTTTCATTTTGTTTCTTTATAAATTCAGTATTTTTACTGTTTAATAATCATAAAATTAAACCCATACGTGAAAGACGTCATTGTTTAATTAAAAATTAATTGTAAAGTAAATGGTGCTAGGGATATGATAATTTTTTTTACATTTACAATTGTTATGCGCATCACACCTATCATAATTATTTATAATAAAAAATAACATGGATAATAATAATAATAATAAAAATAACGCCCCAATTTGAATTTTAAATTTAAGAAGTTTTCTCATACTGTTATTTGTTTACAACAGCAACAATTGCCTAAGTGCCACAGCCCTTTTTTTGTATTTGCAATAAGTAAATAAAATCTAAAGAGCTTGACTAAAACTGGTTGTGAATTACTATTGCTTTGAATCAATTTTTAATTTTAATTTCTGTAAAACTTAGCAAGTATGTTGTGCAAGTTCAGATACAGAAGTTTTGACAAATCTAAAATTGCAACTAAAAGGATTTAACTTTATTCATGGCTGAAAATCTATTTGCATTAATACAAAGAAAATGAGCTGTGGTGGCTCAGGGGATGGAGCGTTCGGGGTTCAAATCCCAGCGATGGCTTTTCGATACAAATTCTACATCCAGCTCGCACTAATCACTGTGATAACGTAAAATATCCTCAGTGGTAGACGGATTATGGGTTAGAATTCCCTTGTCGTCTGACTAACTGTAGGAGGTTTTTGAGGTTTTTCTCTCCATGCAACGCAAACACTGGTTAGTTCCATCAAAAAGTCCTCCACGAAGGCAAACTTTGTCCCCATTCTCGATCCTGGAGTTCTCTTGTCTTCTGGATTGAACTCAAAATTACAAGGCTACGGCGTTGAACATTTGGAGCCGTAAGCTCAAACTTGGGTCGGCTGGTCAACGACGGTGATGAAATAAAATCTACAAATACAGAGAAAAGCATCAACTAGTATGAAAATCATTTCTTTATAAAATGCGTTTTGGAAGATAAAAATATCTATGAATAGTAGACCTGGAAGAAAAAAAGCACTAGCCATTCGACACGTGGCACGCGTGACAAAGAAAAAAAGTCGCATTCGACACGTGGCAAAGAAAAAAAGTGACGACTTAAATTAAATAAACAACCCGTCATTTTCAATTTTTTTTTTATCGTTTAGTGATAAAACTACATCAATGCAGAAAGACTCTGAAAAATAGTTTTCATTAAGCAGAAACATTGTTCACCGTCTACATTAAAAATTTTGAATCTATCAATTCAATTTGTTCTTCAGAATCTATCAATTTGTGACTGAAAGATTCATGTAAAAGGAGAGAAATTTAACAATTCACATATTTCAAAGTTGTAATGTATGCATTAAATGTATATTGCCTCAACGAATATTTTTTAAATAAAACTTCTTTAAAGTCAGTATGTTTAACTAAATTTTGTCACATACTAATTTTATTACTTTTATAGACGTAGATTATTTATAATCTGATTTTTTTTAAAAATATAATTTAATTCAAGTAAAAAAATGTTTTTAAAAGCGGCTATTAAATAAATAGGACCTATAGAAATCGGTCACCGACTCATTAGGTTTGAGAAAAAAGTGGCTACTAAGTTATTAGAGTCTACCGGCCACAGACTACTAGCTGAAAATTTAAATTCTTTTTACATATTTATGGGAGTGTTTTTAACCGGAGAAAGAATAAATAGTGAGGAATATGACAATTTAGAACAGTGAGAGCTTATTTTTCTTCTTTCGAAAACCAGCTATAAATGAAATGGTTTTATTTACTTTTTACTCTAATGTCAGTTTAAATATATATTGTAATATTTTTTTCCAAAAAATTTTGTTTTGCACACAATAAGAATATATGCTTATGTGTAGTTATACAAAATTAGGTGCTGTTGACTGCTAATTATATCACTAAGCGAGATCGTTCTAATAATTTATATTAAATGTCTGCTTGTACTTTTTTTTAACATAGATTTGTTAAACTTAAAGCTATATGCTTAATTCTCCCTTGGCGATGAATCATATTTAGAATCAAACAAAGAACCATCAGGAACTTTCTACATTTCCAAGTGGATAGGTTAAGTCTGAAAATAATGATTAGAATTGATTGTATACACAGGGCCAGCTCCAACTCCAAGGATTTCATATTATTAGCCAGTAAATTAGCCAATTATCAAAAGCATTCTTCAATTTTCGAAAGTCTTCTCCAAATGCTAATCTTAACAATTTTTTAATGATTAATTTTTCCCTTTAGAAAACTATTTTAAGGTAGTTTTTTTCAGGGTTATATTATTTATACCCAATTCTATTTGGTTATGCGACGCATCTACCGAAAATTGCTGTAATTGAATAAAAAATACTGATTTGTTTCAAAAAATTCATTTTTACGTAATTTTGAGGATCGAGCTAAATATAGATTTTTCTTTCTAGTGGAAAAAAATCATTCACCAATATTTTCGCGAAAGCACATTTTTATTCGCTAAAGCACAATTTTATGCGCCAAATTTACGATTTTATCGCATTTGGCGAGGTGGCGAATTCTTAGATTCATACCGATTAATAAAAATTTAGATTCATACCGATTAATAAAAAAATCAAAATTAGTAATTAAGTTGAACATTATAGTTTAAATTGAATTATATCATTGTATAAAAAAAGCAGATGTTTTATGAGTGAATGAAAAAAAATAGCTTCAGAATTTTTTCGAAGTTTAAAAAAAAATCTTTTTGAAAATTTTTTAGTGACGCATGCAATTAATATTTTAGCAGAGAAAATTCATTAAGACTGTTATTTTACTGTTCGAAATGAAGAAAAAGTGCATCTTTCAGAAAATGAAATACAGTTATCAATTCTTTTTGTCATTTTTTATTTGTATCAGTCCGCGTCTTCGTGCGTTGTTTTTATTATGAATTAAAATAATCGTTGATTATTTTGCTACAACATTTAGTTATGTGTAAATTTATGCTTCTTCTGTATGTAATATTTGGTAATTATTTCGAAACCAGAGTCTTATGAGCAAGGAAAATCACAAATAAATAAAATCGATGAAAGAAGCATTTGAATGAAGTGCGAATAAGTTCTGTCACTGATAAAATCATTTCGCTAATTGCATTTCTTCACCTTCAGTTGTTAAATAAATGAAAGCGTATTTATAAACAAAACCAAATAATCTAGTAAAATATAGAGAGTTTTTTTTCTGTTTTTCGTGTCCTTAACTTCAATTTATGACGTCGCAAAAATTTAACGTTTCAAATAAAACGTCAAGGGTGTAAGTCATGTTTTTCTCAATGATATTATTTATGTAACATCTGGAGCTGTTACGTTTATTCCTTTTAACGGACTGTCCACAAATGATGTCATACATTTTTCAAAACATTTTTGACGTCAAAGTATATGCCATGTTTTTCTTAATGGTCATACTTAAGTAACAGCAAGAGCATTGTTTCGTTTATTCTTTTTTAAAAAAAACTGTCCATAAATGATGTCATGCTTTTCGTTCTAAAAACATTTTCGACGTCAACTGTATGTCCTTTTTTTCAATGATATTAATTATGTAACACCATGAGTTATGTTACGCTTATTCCGTTTGATGGACTATCCACAAATCATGTCGCACATTTTTTATGCGTAATTTACGTCTAAGATATATGCCGTGTTTTTTCTAATGGTCTGAATTATGTAACAGCTAGAGCATTGTTACATTAATCATTTTAAAGAACTGTTCATAAATAACGTCAATTTATTTCAAAAAACATTTTCAACAACAACAGTAAAAGTCATGCTTTTTTTTCAATAGTATTAATTATGTAACACCAAGAACTATGTTACGCTTATTCCTTTTGATGGACTATCCACAAATGACGTCACAAATTTTTTTAATACATATTTGACTTCAAAGGTATATGCCATGTTTTTCGAATGGTCTGAATTATATAACAGCAAGAGCACTGAATTATGTTTAATCCTTTTAAATAACTGTGTTTTAATGTAATCTGAGAGTGCAGTAATAAAATATTTCGTTTTTTGATTTTATTTTGACCGGAATGTGTGATGCCTTACCTCTTGTTACTTACTTCCTCCCTTTTGTTACAAACTGTCAGCATTTCATGCCTTTGAACACATCATAATTTGTAAATGGCCCCCTGATAGCTACGAATCTGTAAGAGACGTAAATTGCGTATGGTTAAATATAATAAATTTTTAATCTTCAAGCAGCATTTAAGCTTTATTTCTATATTTTATATCTATTATTATAAATTTATAGAACGCATATTCCTGTCTTGAAATGGAATTATTTTTTCAATTGTTTTTTTTTTTAAAGTTCTCATTTTAAGTTCTTTACTATATTTGTTATGATGCACTTCGATTATTATGCCTTCAAGATATTAATTCAAGATATTGAAATTATATTTAATGATAAATGTATCGTTTAACTTAAACGTTTTGTTCTACTACTTATGATGAAAATATCTTATATGTGAAATTTTTGACTTCACGTATAAAGATAAATTAAACATATCATTTGGCAGTTTTGATTAAATGCTTAACTAAATATTATTATTTAATATTTTATTGAAAATGTAAAAAAAGC